TTTGTAGATATCGTGGTATGCGAGGGTATGATGTATTTATTAATTTCTTCTATGAATCTTATTATTCTACACTTTATTTGACTAATTATATTTATAATTTTGATAGAAAATATATTTTTAGTTTTTAAGGAAAAGTTTTACTTTTTTGTTTTATTTTACCATCTTTGATAATTAAAATTTATTTGTATTTATTATAATTTTTTAATTATAAAATTACATGCATTATAAGTTTTTTTTTAGAAATTTGGATATGATAACTTATTGTAGCCAGACTATTACTCATCTCTATTTTATTGCTCATTTGCTCTATTTTTTCTAATATTTCTAAAACATGTAATCCATTTTATGAGGGAATGAGCAAGTAATATAATTAGTTCAAATGGTAAAATAAAAGTAAAATTTTAAAATTATAATATGCTTATTGAAAGGAAAACATACTTCCAAAATTATCTATGTAGGTTCTAATCGGTTTCGGATATAATCGGTTTCGGATCTAATCGGTTTTGGATTTTATCGGTTTCGGGTATTATCGGTTTCGGATCTAATCGGTTTCGGGTTTAATCGATTCGGATATTATCGGTTTCGGATCTAATCGGTTTCGGATTTAAATCGGATATGAATTATTTAGTTCGGTTTCGGTTCGATTCGGATCATTTCGGGTTTTCGGTTATAGATCGGAACTTCATTTTTCGGGTCATTTCGGTTTCGATTTCGGATATTTCGGTTCGGATAATCGGTTCCGATTCTGTTTTGCCAGCTCTACATCTCACCCAACTTTGTTTAGAAATTGACAAATAAATCAAAATACACGTAATAGAGTAACAAAAGAATAAAAAATCAATCCGGTCGGACCGGCCCGGACCGGGCGAAGCAGAGCGAAACGCCTGGAGGGAGTGAGTCGGAGAAGTCCACGAATTCCCGGCGATAATTTCTCTGCATCCGCCATCTTCCCCACACTCCACTCTCCCTCTCTCTATATATATGCATACATAGTACATACAGAAGCTGCCATTGACATATACATCTCTCTATTGCTTGCTTTCACACACACACACACACACTCACTGTGTGATCGAGTCTCCGTCGTAATGGGATCGGAGCTGTTCTTCCGAGGTCAGGAGTCGCCGCCGGCGACCGACGCCTACACGCCAAAGCCTCCGAAGCCGTGGATGACTTTCAATCGTTCGATCAGTTACATGCTCCGCGAGCAGCGCCTGGTTTGCCTCCTCGCCGGGATGGCCCTCTCCGCGTTCATCGTCATCGCCCTGCGCCCGCCGCCGCATCCTCCGCTCCGCGGCCTCGGCCTCGAATTCGACCCGATCTCGGCCTCCCGATCGGCCGCCCACCAGCACGGCCGGTTCATGTACCAGAAGGGCGTCGGATTCGGGGCGCTGCATTCTGGCGGGAAAATCCCGCTGGGGCTGCAGAGGAAGGGTTTGAGGATCGTGGTGACGGGCGGGGCGGGATTCGTCGGGAGCCACCTGGTGGACCGCCTGATGGCCAGAGGCGACAGCGTGATCGTCGTCGACAACTTCTTCACCGGGCGGAAGGAGAACGTGATGCACCACTTCGGCAACTCCAGGTTCGAGCTCATCCGGCACGACGTCGTCGAGCCCCTTCTCCTCGAGGTTGACCAGATCTACCACCTCGCCTGCCCTGCATCTCCGGTTCATTACAAGCACAACCCCGTCAAGACAATCATATCCTCCTCCTCCCTTGATTTCCCAAAATTATATTCACTCCATTGAACAAATTCTTTCTTTCGATCTTCATCAATTATTACAATGAAATTTCAATTCCTTAATTCTAACTGCGATTTTGGGAGCTTCACAAGACGAATGTGGTAGGGACTCTGAACATGCTGGGCTTGGCCAAGAGAGTGGGGGCGCGGTTCTTGCTAACCAGTACCAGCGAGGTTTACGGGGATCCATTGGAGCACCCCCAGAAGGAATCTTACTGGGGAAATGTCAATCCCATTGGTAGGTGGTAGTGATGACACATTTCTGTATACCACAATTTCTTTCCATTAGAATTAGAACAAATTTCACTTTTCTAAACGAATCTGTGATTAAAAATCCAATTTATCTCATTCTTTGGTTGACTGTTCGACTCGTTCTATTTCAATCCTTTTAGAATTAGAATGAGTAAATGTGAAATGTGTTACAGGCGTCCGGAGCTGCTACGACGAAGGGAAGCGTACGGCAGAGACATTAACCATGGACTACCACAGAGGTGCTGGTGTTGAGGTTAGATTAGTTTCTGGTCAAACATTATTTGTTACTTTATCCATCCCTTTTTTAATCTTCCAATATATGATTTTGCTTTACACATATCGCTTTTTAGAATTTTGATGTACTCCTTAGTTTTTTAATGTATAAATATATACTCCGTAAGTTTTAGTTCTTGATTTTCCACCGATATTTGAACAGTTAAATTTGAAATAATTTCATCCAAATATTTCAATATGAAATCAGAAGATTAGTATCTGATACGGAGTACGAGTATATATGATGGTGTATATACTTTGGACTTGTTCACAACTGCATTAAAGTGACTATTATGACTTTTATGATACACCAAAAAAATAAATAAATAAATATGAACATACGTCATGTCGACATATATTCAAATTTTAATGCATCACGAAAGTTGTAGTGGTCGGTTCAATGCGAATGGAGGAAGTATTGTCTAGTTTGTTGTATAGAGTTGGAGAAAATAAAGAAAAGTGCCTTGATAAAGTCAAAAGTCAAAGTAACAGAATCACATTGTTCCAGGTGAGGATTGCCAGGATATTCAACACATATGGCCCAAGGATGTGCATTGATGATGGCCGGGTGGTCAGCAACTTTGTTGCTCAGGTGAATTTTCTGTTTTCCCCTTTTTCTTTCTCTTTCCGCAGTTATTGGGTTTCTAAAAGTTGACTGTGGAATTTATCGGGTTGATCAAATCAAAATGGCCAGGCATTAAGGAAGGAACCAATGACTGTTTATGGTGATGGAAAACAGACCAGGAGCTTCCAATTTGTCTCAGATTTGGTAAGTTTTCTTATTGGGTATTTTGTGTCTCTTTCTGAATATATTTCAAAAGCTTCCCTTTATGGTTTATCATCAATTGGTGACTGGTTTACACACACACAGGTTGAAGGTCTGATTCGTTTGATGGAAGGAGATCATGTTGGGCCTTTTAACCTCGGAAACCCGGGTGAATTCACCATGCTTGAACTTGCTAAGGTAATACAATGTCTTATAGTTTTTAGGACTACCTTCCTAAAACAAACACGCTCTTGTGTTAGAAGCATTTAGGGTCCTTTTGGTGAACACAAAAGATATGAGCTCTCCTGTCTTTGTGCAACTAAACTTGAAATTGAAGTATATGATGTGGTGATAGAGTGAGCGTGTTGGTTGGTGTGTGTGCAGGTGGTACAGGAAACGATAGACGCAAAGGCGCAGATAGAGTTCAGGCCAAACACGGAGGACGACCCGCACATGAGGAAGCCGGATATCTCAAAGGCCAAAGACTTGCTTGGTTGGGAACCCAAAGTGCCTCTTAGGAAAGGTTTGCCAATGATGGTTCAAGACTTCAGGCAAAGGATCTTTGGTGACCAAAAAGATAATAATAATAATAATGCTGGTTCTTCCACATTTTCTACTGCTGCATAAATTACCTTTTTCTTTTTTTCTGCATTCTCAACCCCATTTCCACTCCAATGTTCTCTTAGCCCTTCCTACCAACACATTTTTGAGCTAGCCATTTGTTTGATATTGTCACTGCCATTTTTACTCATATGTTTTATAATTATTATGTTTCGTTTTTGAGTCATTTATCGACTCCTCTTTTGTATACAACAAACCATAGTATTGTTTCCTCTATTCTTATAGAGAGATACTTTTACAAAAAGCATATTGGACTACGTATGCGAGTTATCGTTATGGAGAGATACAATGTAATACTCGATATAAAAAATTTATTTGAAGAAAAATGTGTTTGTTATAGTGAAGTATTGTTCAGATAAATTTTGATTGCGCCACAAGTTTTTGAAAAACAACATTGACATTTCGTTCTCCATATACCTAATCTTGAATCAACATTTATTCACTCTACATAACTTATACGGAGTACCTAGTCTTTTTAGTTTTTATCAAATACATCTTCTCTGGTGAAAATGACACAAATTTTAGGAGTAGATTCATTTTGCTTTTATGAGAATAACTTTTTGCGCATTACAATGAATGATTTTTCACATTAGCAAATTAATTAAGAATAAATTAAACAAATATTTATCATAGTATTATGAAAATGTTTGCGTAACAAAGCAAAAAACAACATTTTCAGAAAACTTTTAACTCCACAAAGTTCCTCCAACTATTAAGCAATGGCCAATCCCAATTCTGGAATTGGTTTCACCAACCACAATCACACAATTCTACTTTCCCTAATAAACATGTCAAGTCACAATTAAGGTTCCATTCTTTTGACCATAAAATGTGTTTGATTAGCTGAGTTCAAATACAAAATGGGCAATTCATATGTCAAAAAAAATCCATTTTACTACACAATTAACCACAAATCATGCAAAAGAAAGACAAAACAGATCTGAGAAACAAAAGACAGACAGCTAAATAGGAAAGGTGATAAAATCCATTAATTATTTTTCCCAAATAACACATAGTTCAGCTGAGAAAACTTCATTCTTTCATTACACCCCATATTCATCAAGCAATAGCAAAAGCAGAAAACCCCGGAATGGTTTTTTTTCTCCGTTTCAAGATACGGCAGCAGCTGTACATACGGTGACCGGAGCTGTGCTGCTTTGTCTAGCAGTGCTGTATTTCTTGGTGATGAATCTGCTCAAACAATAAGCACAAACAAATTGTAAAGTATAACGAAAACCATTGTTTGATCATAGGAGTAAGAAAGGCATTTTGTCATTCTACAAAGTTAGGGCGATGGCTTTGAATCCGTATTTGGGGATGGAATATCAGTTTCTCGGTGTTTGATGGGAGGAAAACGGTTTCTGGGACTAATAACAACAAACCAGTGAATTCCCACAAATCATTTTCAGCAACTCATTCACGACCTCTTTACTTTAAAAAATGCTTATATTAGTAGTAAGCAAATGCTTATTTAGCTAATACGAAGTTACAAATTTTGCCCCTCGGTTAATAGTGGAAGGATCTGCCCTTTCTTGAAAATTTTAAAATATGCACTCTTACCTGAAAAAATCTCTCCACATCAGCTCATACATCAACCAGTTCACTCTAGTACTGCCATTGCCACCATCTTCCATCTTAGATGCAGCAGAAAGCTTTCTGTAGACCAAATAGTACGTAACATTCTTTTATCAGCACAAAGGCTAACAATGTTTTTTATAGAAGAAAGATGTTACAAATTATAGAACTACGAGAGGATTAACTCATATTTGTGTGTGTGTGTGTGTGTGTGTGTGTGTGTATATATATTAGTCTTTTCTTAGCTTGAATGTTTGATGTGGGATTATATCCTCAACACAAATCATTAATGGGGCGGGATACGTACTTTGAGGCGCACTTCTTCAGCTCGTCAAACATGGAACGAGGGGAGAGGCATCCCATTGAAAGCCACGGAGATATCTTGCAGGAGAAGTTTGCACCGTATATGCTATCCTGGTGGTTATCTTCATGCTTGGGTGGTTGAGCTTCGCATTCCGCAGCGAATTTCTTAACTCTCTGCAATGCTTCTGTCTCCCCTCCAGCAAGGGAAGCATTTGCAGAAGGCCTCCCATTCTGTAACTCATTCAATCCAAAATTATAAGACAGATCGAGATATGGGATAATAACATTTCTCTAGAATCTTGGTCATGATATATAACAAATACTCTGTAACTGTTTATTTTACAGAAATATTGAAAATATATGTGAAAAGAATCTCTAAGATATCAGTGATCCCATTACTTTACTGGAAAAACAACTCAAAATCAAGTTTTGATTTTCCACATGTATACCATACAACAAAACAACAAACCCATTAAGTCCCACAACACTGGGAAGTGAGGAAGGTGTCTTTACAAGTGTTCAACTTGTTCATAACTACTGGGCTTTTAACCTTGTTCATTATAAAGTGTTGGCAGCTCAAGTGCTCAATCGTATTCGTATAAGCTATCAGTCAAATAGGTAGCAATGCATTGACATTGAAAAAAGCTATAGAGAAGAAGAAAAATGTGGAACCTGGCTCGGAGCAGCACTCGGGTTGAGGCCCAAATCAGCCAAAGAAGGAATGTCTCCAGTTTCGACATCCCCTCTGCTCGGCATTCCCCTCAACTGATCCAGAGCTTCAATGGTCTTCCGAACCTCCAAGCTCTTAACTTTCTCCCTAAACCCACCGTAATTCGTGGGCATCTCCTCCAGCTTGAAGGGCAAATCATCAACATGGTACAATGTGCTTCCCCAGAAGAACTTCACATCAATCCCCTCGTCCTTCATCACCTTCTCAATCTTATCTTCTGCCTTGACATCATCGTGCGAAATCTCCCTATGAGCATACACTGCGTCTGCCCCAACAGCCTTTGCCAGTTCGACCAGGACAGCCTCGGGCTTTCCCACTCGGACCACGAGATTGGACCCGCGCGCCACGAGGTTCTTCCTGAGGTCAGAAACAGACTCGATCACGAAGGTAGCGCGGTGAGGGCCGGTCTTGTCGAATCCGGATGAGGACTTTCCGTAGTCTCTGGGGTCAAAGCAGTAGACGGGAAGGACCGACATGGACTCATTGTTGGCGGAATTGAGGCACTCGTTGTCGTGGACGCGGAGATCGTTGCGGAACCAGACGATGGAGGAGCGGCGGGCGGCGGCGGCGCCGGAGGGGTCGGAGGGGCGGAGAGGGTTGAGGGGGAGAGTGCTGTGGAGG